AGTCCCCCTGCCCCCGGGTTCCCATGGAGACCAAAGCCTATTAAGGACACCCGGCCGGAGCCTCCCTCCCCTCAGCTGGCCCCAGGAGGGGACACCGGGTGGGGGGACCCTGGACCCCCAGCTACTTTCCTTGCCCCTGCCCTGGCCTCAACCCCACTGGCCCCACTGGGGGTTCTGTCCAGCCAAGGCACAGGTTGAAGGGTGTGGGGGACCAGGGGTATTGGACTGGGAAGGTTGGATGGAAGGAGGCCGAAAGGACTGTGGATCTGTGGGTCAGCAAGAACTCAAAGCTGTAGGATTAAAGAGGAAGGTGTGGCTGGTTCTTCTGTTATTCATTCATCCATTCAAAAAGTAATTAATGAGCAAGGTGTGCAATAGAATGGTGATCTTGGTCATTGATGACAGTGGCTGCCCTGGCACAGGAAACCTTCAAGCGGATGGTGTTGGGTGCTCTCGCTGCTGCTTTGCCACCGTCCCCCATGGGACTTGTGGGCAAGCCCCTCTGTGAGAAAGATAACAGTGACAGCTGTTACTACTCCGAGGATCACATGGGCTGTGTTAGCTAACTCCTCCCTGTGAGATGGTCACTGCTGTGCCCTTGTCACAGGTGAGGAACCAATGGCATGGAAAACTAAAGCCACTTGCTCAAGCTTAGCCTACCAACAAGTCTGGGACCCAGGGCTCCTACTCGGAACCCTTCTCTCAGGGTTTCTGCCTTCCATTGCTTAAATGAAGGGTGAGGAAGAGGTGCCACGCCTGAAGTGTCTTGTCCAGTATAGACATGTCAGCTGACTTGGAATTGGCAGTGGGGCCGTAGGGATGGGCATGAGGCTGGCGCCCTGGGGCAGGAAGCCCTTTGGGAAGAGAGATGGAATTTCCCTCTGAGCTTCTCCAGGGATCCCCTGCCTCCTGGTCCAGTGGGCTCTTGACCCCGTCAGGGGAAGCCTAGTGTATCCTGATGCCAGACGGGAGCTGGAGGACCACCCTCATTCCAGGCCTGCCCTTTGTACTCTAATGAGGTGGAAGAGGACACTTGGAAGGCAGATGAAAGGCAGAGAGAGAAAGTTGGGGACGGAGGAAAGTTTTCCCTCTTACCCTTAGGATTTCTGGCCACTTGGGGAAGGATCAGGGGCTGAAGTGAGACGTGATAAGGAGGATCAGAGGCCCTGATTTCTACCCAGGGTGAATCAGGCCTAGCTAGCTAACAGGGCAAAGAGGGACCAGATGCGGACGAGGCGAAGGAGGTGGGATGGACTGTGGTCGTCCACGTGTCTGACAGGATGGCTGGGGGGGAAGCAGCAAATAGATAACTGGGGTTCAAGAGAATGTAGCTAACCTAGACCCTCCCCCTTGACAGTCCCCTCCCCTCCCCCAGTCAGTGGGAGGCAGGCAGCCCAGGCACTGAACTCTACTTGCTTTAATTACAGCCTCTAGCTAAAGGAAACCTCAATTAGAGAAAAGATCTGTACCAGGAGTCTGGCTGCTGTCCTGTCCGCCTGGCCTTTTGCAAAAAGGAGAGGCTTTTGCTTCCCCGTCTCATAATCCTGCTCCTGTATTTCCTTCTGTAGCGCCCGTTCAGCGCCTCCTCATCCCCAGCATGGTCCCGGACTTGCTTTTTGACCTTGAGCAGGCAACTTCAACGCTCTTGTCCATTTCCTTTATATGTGCAATGGGGATCTTCCCCTGCGGAACACATTAGGATGCTGGGGACAAGTGTCAGGCAGGCACTTGGAGTTTAATAAATGCAATTAATCTGGTAGCTGACCAGCGGGTGCTATGGTGTTTATAGTAGGATTGCTGATGGAAAGTTGTCCTCCAAGCAGGGAGCAAGTTTAAGATGAAGCCTAGAGTGGACAGGAGAGCGGGTCATGGGAGCCCCTGGTGTCTGGTGGGTCCTCTATGACAGGCTGTGTTTCAGGTGGACGACGCCATGCTGATGTTCGACAAAACCACCAACCGGCACCGAGGTGAGTGCTCCCCCTCCCCCTTCCCAAGCTGGGCTGGGGGCCTGTGGTCAGCCAGGGGCCGCAGGTCACAGCTGCCCTTTCATCTTGCCTCCTGACATCCTATCCCTGAGGATCTGCATCCTCTCCCCGGCCTGGCCTTACAGAAGGCTTTTGTCCCACCATTTCCTGTGCTAGAAACTTGCCGAATTGCAGACACCCGAGAGGAGCAGCGAAGGACAGCCTCCCCACCCTCAGTGCCCTCCACCCCGCCCTGGCCGCCGCCACTGCCGTCTGCCTCAGCCCAGGCTTACCTTGTCCCTGGTAACCAGAGCTCAGGCCAGGCTGCCCCAGGGTCAGGCTGACTTCGAAGCCCCGGGCGGTCTGCCCTGCCACTGCCCCCCACCCACCCTGGCGAGCCTAGTCCCCAGCTGCCGTGGCCCTGACCCTGCCCACATCGGGGCCACACTGCGCACCCCGCCTGGATGTTTGTTCCCTGAGGACCTTGCCTTCAGAGAAATCCTGTTCCAGCCCCTGGGACAGGCTTAGGAGGGCGGAGGGGGCTGTTTCTCCAGTCATTCCAGGGCTTTGGGCCTTTGAGCCTTCTTTGGGAGTGGGTCATGTGTGGTGTCTGTGTCAGGAGATGTGTGCCTGTGTGGTGTGCCAGGGCAGCCACACACGTGAAGTGCCTCTGTGTGTGAGGTGGGAACCCAGGTGGTGTGGATCTGCTGGTATGTGTGCCTGCGTGCTGCGTGTGTCTGGACATGGACACCTTTGTGTACGTTCAAGTGAATGTTTCCGGGCGTCCTCTCTTCCCTCTTGGGAAAGCACCTGACGGGGAGAAACGGCGTGTTAAATATAGTCAGTCCTCCGTATCCGTGGAGTCTGCATTTCCAGGTTCAGCCGCCACAGTTTAAAAAAATATTTGAGAAAAAAAGAACTGGGCCTGTACTAATCGTGCAAACTTTTTTTTTCTCCTTGTCATTATGAACCATACGGTGTAACAACTCTTTACATAGCATTTAGATTGTACCAGGTATTGAGAGTCATCTAGAAATGGTTAGAAGGGTAAGGGAGAATGTGCGTAGCTTCTGTTCATGGATGATGAAATTTTTCTATAAAGGATTTGGGTGTGGCATGGATTTTGGTGCCTGAGGGGGGGTCCCGAGACCAATCCCTCTCTAATTCTAAGGGGCAGTTATATTCTCGTGGTGGTTGTGCCACTTTCTAACCTGCTGTGTGACCTTGGACAAGTTACTTCACTTTGCTGAGCCTTGGTTTGCTCATCTGTAATTTGGGACTCGAATCGCTTCTCGGCCTTTTGGCTAAGATCAAGTGTAATTTGGGACTCGAAACCCTATCTCAGCTGGTAGTTGAGGCTGTTGGGCTGTGGGCAGAGCCTCTCATTAACTCTCAGACACTTGCCCACAAGAGAGGAGCTGTGGTATCGGGATGGCCTGGAGCTGGGTGTTGACCAGTGAGCCCTGGTTTTGACCTTGCCCTGGCCCTTTTTCCACTGTCTAGGGTTCGGGTTTGTCACGTTTGAGAGTGAAGACATCGTGGAGAAAGTGTGTGAAATCCATTTCCATGAAATCAACAACAAAATGGTGAGCTGGGACTGGGTGGAGGAAGAGGCGCAGAGAGAGCCTGGGGCTCCAGGCTGAGCCCACTGGGGAAGCTCCGGGTTTCCAGAGCAGGCAGGGGGACCTCGCAGTGAGTGAGGCAGAGCTGGTTCTCCTCTTCCCCACCCCGATCTAGGCGTATAATGGTTAATTGGGTCCCTCTCTGAGCCTCGGTTTCTGCATCTGTAAGATGGGGATCACTTCCATCATAGGCTTGGTGTAAACAGTCAGTGAACTGCCACACACAGAGCCTTTTACATTATGCAGTACACCTAGTGTGTGTTCCATGAGTGCTAAGAGTGAAATTAATAATCAGAGCCCTGGCAGGAAACAGGAGGGACAGTGACCCTAGCGGTAGGAGAGACTAACCATCCGGTCTCTCTGCAGGTGGAATGTAAGAAAGCTCAGCCAAAGGAGGTGATGTCCCCAACAGGCTCAGCCCGGGGGAGGTCTCGAGTCGTGCCCTATGGAATGGATGCCTTCATGCTGGGCATCGGCATGCTGGGTATGTGCTGGGCCTGCACCTGCAGCTTCTTCCTGCCCTGAACTGCTCCCTGGGCACAGGGGCCGCATGGGTGTGGCATCGCCTCTGTGGTCTGCTCTCCTGTCTGAGTCATTGGGCTGGATTGGAGGCCGGGCATCGCAGGCAGGTCTGGCCGTGCTGCCTGGAGCGTTTGTGTTGTGGAGTGCTGCCCCCTTGTGGTGGCCAGGAGGCTCAGTTGCTCCGTGTTACGTGGTCCTCTGTCCCTTGGTCCATCCATCCATCCATCCATCCATCCAGGAAATAGGTATTGAGCAACTATATGTGCTAGGCACTATGCCAGGAATTTCAACAGTGACTTTCCTGAGATTTATGGTGTTTCAGAGAAGGCAAATAAGAATAGATTCAGGATGGAGTATAGGGTACCAAGGGAGCATAGTCATGGGGAACTTGACCCACATATGGAAAAACCAGAAAATAAGTAGCATTTATGCTGAGTCAGTAGGTCGAGTAGGAGGGGTTCATAAAGAGGGCAAGAGCGAAGGGAAGAAAAAGTATTCCAGACAGAGGGAACAGCATTTGTAAAGGCCAAAAGACTTTTGGGAAGACAAAAGCAAGGCTGCCTCTTCTTACTCAATCAACTAATTTTTTTTTTTTAATTTGGTACTGGGGATAGAACTCAGGTCCTTGCGTTTGTAAGGCAGCCGATAGAACCACTGAGCGAAATCTCCGGCCCTCATTCAACTAATTTTTACAGAGCAGCTTTTGAGGGGCAGGACCTCCCCCATGGGACTCTCCTTCAAGTGTGGCCAGGGGTGGGTGGGCATTGTTACCCTGGAGCAGCTGGAGACCAGGGGCTGAGGCTCCTGTGAGAGGTGAAGGTTTCCTTGAGATTTGAAAATTGAGCCCAAGTCAGCCATACTTTGGGCCCAGGACTGAGCGCAGTCAGTTTGACTTTGGTGCCTGGGAAGTAAGTGCACAGTCCCCATGCAGAGACAGGATGTGTGCACAGAGAGAGAACAGTACAAGGGGTTTTTAGCCGGTCCGGGGGGAGGGGTGTGCAGAAAGGGACTCTGGGACTTCAGAGGAGGGGGCGTGGCTTAGGGTTAGAGCATAGGGATCTGAGCTTTGGCTTGCCTGAGCCACGCTGAGTGAGGGGGAACTGTCTTGGGATATATATATATATATACACACATTATAGCTTATATATTTAAGTGACAAAACTTCCTTTTTTATTTTATTATAACATTAAAGCAAAATAACCCAACAAGCCCAAGTTCAATAATTAAATAAGGACGCTTACATGTTTGCTTAAAGCAATAATTGCATAGGTAGATTGAAATACTGTTATTAGTAATCGTTGCATTTTACTTTCCAAGTCAAACAAGCACATGCAACGTCTGGTATACACAGGTTTTGATTCAACTGGCTGTGTGTGGTGGGCACAGGGAGTAGAGTCGCACCCTCCTCTATGTACCTCATATCTTGTTGCTGCCTACACTATCCGCACTTGAACACCACAAAGTCAAGTTGTGAAAACTATCACTAACAATCACATAATTTTATTTTTTGGAGCCAGAAGTGGTGGTACACACTTGTAATCCTAGCACCTGGGAGGCTGAGGCAGGAGGATCACCACAAGTTCAAGGCCACCCTCATCTACATAGTGCGAGTTCAAGGCCAGCCTAGACTATATAACAAGACCCTGTCTGAAAACCAAAAACAAATAATTTTACTTTTTATATTCTATATGTATTTATTTTGGGTTAGTACAGGCTGGCAGTACGTAATGTTTATACTCATTGTAGGGAGTAAGTATGTGTAACATTTCTTAGTTCTTTTTATTCCACTTCTCCTCCTCCTCTTCACCCTCCTATCTCTAGATCCTATTCCCATTTGTAAAAGTTCTATCTCTGGTTCCTACTTCTATCTTCTATTTGTTAAAGTAGTTATGCTTTGGGTCTCGTATAGGAGAATGTATGCAATATGGAAGCTTGTGCGTCTGATCTATTTAATTTAGCGTTATGGTCGCAACATGCCTCTATTTTCCTGCAGGTGACTCAAATGGACCCTTACTTATGGCGGAGTAGTACGCCATTGTGTGTAAACAGCACACTTTCTTTATCCACTCGTCCGTTTATGGACATACAGGCTGCTTCCAAGATTGAATGATTATGAGTTGTGCTGCTGTAAGCACGGGTGTTCATGGGTCGCTACAACATGATGTTTTCAACTCTTTCGAGAAGATACCTGGAGGGGTATGGGGTGGCTGGGTCAAGTGGGATTTGTAGGTTTACTTTTTTGAGGAATCACGGTTCTGATTCCTGTAGTACTTGTGCCAGGTTACCTTTCCACCAACAATGTGGAGGCCTCCTTTTCCCCTGCACCCTCACTAGCATTTGTTATTGTCAAAATTGCATGACTTTAATTATTTATTTATTATTTTTGGTTGTTTTGTTTTGTTTTTTGAGACAGGGTCTCACTGTGTAGTTGAGACTGATCTGGAACTCACTATGTAGCCCAAGCTGGTCTCGAACTCATAGTGATCCTCCTGCCTCAGCCTCCTGAGTGCTGGGATTGCAGGCGTGCACCACCACGCCTGGCTCAAAATCGCATATGATTTTAAAAGTTGATGCTCTTGCCCAGGGCCCCAGGCCACCTGTGGTCCACGGGCTGGCCACGCTGGGGCTAGAGGCTCCGGACTGGGGTCCCAGGAGAGGGAGAGAGCAGAGCACTCTACACAAGCCACAGTCTCATGAGGGTTTCTTTTGTTTAATTTGAAAGTAATTCCAAACTCTCAAAGGAGTGACAGAAAAGAATAACATGAAAGAACATCCATATACCCCTTTATCAGATTCACCTGTTAACATCTGGTTTTCACTCTGTATATAAATGCGTACATCTGCATATGTACACATATACACGTGGAATTTTTCTCTGAGTCATTTGAGAATAAACAATATTTTGTTGTTATTATTATTATTATTATTATTATTTGTTTTTTTGAGACAGGTCTTCATTATGTAGTTCAGGCCTCACTCTGTAGCCCAGGCTGGCTTTGAACTCATGGTGATCCTCCGCCTCAGCCTCCTGAGTGCTGGGATTACAGGTGTGCACCACCATGCCCAGTGAGAATTAAA